GTGCATTGTACGAGCTTTATATTATAGGTTGTACTCAAGTGTTATCCACCATCTACTGGTGAATTTTTTCAACTCAAATAACTTACTAAACCCGTGCATTTTACGAGTTTTTTATTATTGACCTGGCCGAGGTCAAAGCATTGTACGGATTTCGCTTTCTGTCATTCTCGATGACGCATGTTTGTTTTGACTTACCCGTTCTGGTAAGTCTGTATTAATAATGGATCTCGTCTTTACTGACTTAACCATTTGATTGAATTTGAATTTCATAATTCAATTTTATCTAAGGTAAAAACAATACTGTCATCTGTCCCCTTTGGTACTCTGACCGAAATGGGGAGCATTTTGACTTGATCAGAGTCACTATTACAAATTGCATTTGTACCTCAGATTTTTTATCGATGCATTAGAAATAGACAAGGACAAATCTTTTTTTTTAAAAAAAGAAAAATTCCTCATTTATTGATATCAAATTGAGAACTACATGAATTTGCCGGCATATTCAGCTTTAGTTAAATTCTTAATAGAGGAAAATATAGCTGAGATGAAATATAAAATCAGAAGGCGGATCCGGGATTTAGCTGTAATATATCTTCAGCTTATCCGCGTTCCAGGTTCTCTTAATTCCTTTGCCTTCTATTGTCTCTAGACGTAAGCTTCTTTTCTGAGATTCTCTTTAACCCGGTGCGGGCCTTCCCAGTTGGCAGCTAGCTTTCCATCTCTGGCGTTTTTATTGCCAATGTCTGTCCTCCTGAGTACCAAGTCATTTTTCTCAAAGATTCTTGGTTTTACTTTCTTATTATATATGACCGCTGTTTGCTGTTTGGCCATCATATCCCGGTAGTGAGCTGTGACTCTGGCTTCGTCTATAAGATCTAACTCCTTAGTAAGCAGTTTACTGTTTTGTTGTTCACCTTGTTTGAGACTATTCAGCCTCCTCCAAGAGGGTTCTCCAACTTCCACCGAAATCATGGCTTCACATCCATACGTCAGTCGAAAAGGGCTTTCCCCTGTTGCAGTTTGGGTACTTGTTCTGTATCCCCATAGGACAAAGTATAGCTATTGAACCCAGCTCTCTTCAGTGTCAAACATCCGTTTTTTGAGACCGTTCACGATTACGTTGTTGGCTACTTCGGCTTGCCCATTCGACTGTGGGTGTTCCACAGATGCAAAGCGATGTGTGACTTGTAGGTCTTTCATCAGTTGCTGGAAGCTTTTATCGACAAACTGCATTCCATTATCAGTAACCACCTCGGCTGGTATTCCAAATCTGGAAACGATGTTCCGTTCAAAGAACCGCCGCTCCTCCTTATTGTCAACTCGTTCTTTTCCTTTCGGGGTCGGGCTCCTCCTTCTCGGGCTCATTCTTTTACCCTCTTCCGATTATGCATTTGCAATCTTCATTTGCTCGAGTTCGAGGTACTTCTTCGAACGGGTTCTAAATTCTTCCAATGTCCTCACTTGGTCCTTATAGACCGACTTGGCTAGCCTGGATGCATCGTCCAAACTAGCCACAATGAGATGTACGTGGACATTCTCTTGCAATCCGGGGACCTGCAATGCAGCGTCCTTGAACCGGTTAAGGTATCTCTGGAGGGTTTCTCCGGGTTGTTAACGTATCTTTCCAAGTGCAAATTCGGACTTTGGATGTTTTTTGCTGGTCGCAAAGTTTAAGAGGAATTTTTGTCCAAACTCATGAAAAGATCCGATGGAATTGGCAGGAAGAGTTGAAAACCATGCCTGCGTTGCCCCAGTTAGGGTTATGGCAAATATCCGGGATATGAGGGGTTCATCAATTCCTCGGATGTACATGTCCGTGTCGAAAGCATCTATGTGGACTTGTGGATCCTGACTCCCATCGTACTTTGGCAAGCGTGCCGAATCGAAATCCTCCGGGAAAGGAGCGTTCAATATTTCACCAGTGAAAGGGCTGTTGTTATATTGCCCCCTGTTGTACTTCCTTCTGTACCCACCGGGTTCCACACGTCCTCTGACGATCTGAGCATTCTGGTTGGGGTGGATTCCATCCCGGTGCCTTTGCCCATTAGCTTATTCTACAGGGTTTTGATTCAAAGCCTGCATAGCAGTGTTTTGGCCATCTGCTGTCTGGTTTCCCAAGTTCGGGTTCGTTGTGTTCACCGGATTAGACCTTTCCCGATTTTCCACCTCAGTAACTCGGTTCTGGCGAATCAGGTTGCGATTTCCTTCCCGGCCATTGGCACGCTGGCCTTCACTCTCTGTTGCCCCTGGTCCAGTTAGCTGAGTTAAGCGCTGTTCCAGGTCTCGCATTCCCCTATTATTTTCGTCTCGTATCGTCTGGAAATCTTGTTGTCGTTGCAGGTTATTACGAGTTTCCATCTCTGTAATTTGCTGCATGATCGCAGCAAATGCATTCTGAGCCAGCCGAGTATCTGGATCGGCTGATTGGGCAATACGTGCAGCAAGATCCCCAGGGTGCTGGGGAGGGTTGTTCCTTACTGGAGCAATAATTGAATCAGCTCCCCTATCTCGACGCGCTGGAGTAGACGCGGTGTCCGAGATGTCTTCACTGACATGGACATGGTCATAGTCCACGTCGTTTCCTAACTGGTTCTGAGGCTGATTTTCCTCTTCCGGAACTGGATCCAGCAGTTGATTCTGGTTTTGGGGTAACTGTTGGCTGCTGCTCCTTGTTTGGATTGCCATCCTTCGTCGGATTGGTGGGAACTTCAAATTCAGAGAAGAATGCCCCACAGACGGCGCCAATGTTCTGTCCTTGGGACAGAGATGTCCAACCCAATAGGCTGGTATGTTTCTCTTGGATCTAGTGCCCTCTCCAAGGTATCTATGAAGGAGATACCCTTGAGTCAAACAGATCACTGTGCACAGTATACTATAACGGCGTTAGCCAATGAGGTGTGTGTGCGCGAACAGTGACAACATAACTGTAAGAGAGAGAGTGTAATGTACCTTTAGGGTTTACCTTGTATTTATAGAGGTTACCTGTGGGTAGTGTGGATGGGCCTTTGGTGCCTCTGGTAAGGGCCCAAGCCTGCTTGCTATGCTGTCGTATTAGGATTCGTATCCTCGATGGATATTTATCCGTGATTATAACTGATTCAGATCTTGGATTGCCCCTTATCGGGCCTATCACTTAATGGGCCCCTTATATGGGTTCATAACAGAACCCATGTACATTAATAAATCAATGTTATTAAACTCAAATCGATTATTGGGATATTGAGTCAATAAATCACCAATTCAACCAATTAAATTGAATTTATATAAAAATATATTCAAAATGTAATAATATAAATATTATGACTAACAAATGCAATTGGCTCTGTGATAAGTATCTTCCGTCACGAACAAGAAGATCGATGCAAACCAAATTATAATTGTAAAACCGCATTTGACTCCATTCATGCAGGGAAGCCAACAAAATACATGACCCAAACGTCAATGACATAAATGAACCTAATTGGCGTTACAAATAAAATTAATTAATTAAAGAGTAAATATTTTTTGGTTCCTAACAAAAAAATACGGTTCTCCCTTACAAAAATAAATTAGTCAGTTAGTCCCTAACAAATTCTAAGTGGACCTATTTAGTTGAAATCGTGGTCCCTCACAAATTCAAAAAAGACCCATATTAGTTCCTCAAAAGGACTAAAATGGGTCTACTTTGAATTTGTTAGGGACTAACTGACTAATTTATTTTTGTAAGAGACTAAAGTGGGGACTATATTTTTTGTTAGGGACCAAAAATGATGTTTACTCTTAATTAAAACATTCTATTTAGGATCCAATGCTGGCATTGAATAAGTAAAAAGAAAGAATTTTGAAAGAGACAAGGTTGAAATACTTTTAATATGTATTAGATATTATAATTAAAAATATTTTTAGTATTATTTTTTATGAAAAAAATCGTACCTCACAAAAAACAAATATGACTTGCTTATTTTTATTTTTGTTTTTAATAAGTAAATTGCATTTGGAGAACACAACTTATCTATTTTTTTCCCCAAATACAACTGATGTTTTTTATTTATATTAGTGAGATGTGATTACGTGAACATAATTTCAAACTTATGCATTAACACAAGTTGTTTTTTATATTGACTTAATAATATAATGGGAAATATAGTTGCAGGTGCATTGGCAACTTACACCCATCGCTTCCGCTCAGGTTAACAGTAATAATATGATTAGTAATAATAGTAGAGTTTTAAATCCCGTCCTGGACGCCTAAACCATGAGATAATATTTATTAAAAAAAGGGTGGGGGGCCCGTGGAAAAATGAGTCGTGTTCACATTAGCTTTATAAAAAACAAAGTGAAAGCATTTTCCTTAATCCGGACACGCAAAATATTTTGAATTTATAAAAAAAATAAGAGCTGTGGAAAAATAAGTCGTGTTCACATTAGCTTTATATAAAGTACAATGCTTTTATCATCAGAAAAATATTGTCTTATTTTGAGACATAATTAGGTGAGTTTTATTATTAAAAGAAAAGAAAAAAGAAAAAATACTGGCTCAATTTTCAATGTGTGTGTAATATGAGATAAAATTTCTTATATAACATGAGAAAAATATTTTCCTTAGGGAGAATTTGGTAGAGAATTTTTTTTTATCCGAGAATCTCAATTTTTAGAAATATGATGAAAACATTCAACTTACGATAATATCCGAAAATTAAAAATTTAGAAAAATTAAATTTATCGAGAATTCCAAAAAATACCTTGTACCAAACACGTCCTTATATAAAAGTGGAAGCAATTCCACAACACGCAATAGACTTTGAATTTATAATAAAAAAAAAAAAAAAGCTGGGGAAAAATAAGTCGTGTTCACATTAGCTTTATATAAAAGTGGAAGCAATTCCATGACAGGCAATAGATTTTGAATTTATAAAAAAAAAAAAAAAAAGAGCTGTGGAAAAATAAGTTGTGTTCACGTTAGCTTTATAAAGAAAGTGGAAGCATTTCCCTTCTGCAATTGCAATGGCTCAGATGATCATTCAATGCAGTTCTTCATCTCGGATGACAAGGAAATATGATGTGTTTGTGAGCTTCAGAGGTGAGGATACACGAAACAACTTCACTGATCATCTTTATGCTGCTCTCCATAGAAATGGCATTATTGCCTTTAGGGATGATACAAATCTTAAAAAAGGCGAATCCATAGCACCTGAGCTCATGCAAGCAATTGAAGGGTCTCAGGTTTTGATTGTCATCTTCTCAAAGAACTATGCTTCCTCAACATGGTGCTTGCAAGAACTCATAGAGTTTCTCAACTGTGTTCAAGTATCAGGGAAACACGTTCTGCCTATTTTCTATGATGTTGATCCATCTGAGGTAAGAAAACAAAGTGGAAGTTATGACAAAGCATTTGGTGAACATGAAGAAAGATTTAAAGAAGATTTAGAGAAGATGGTGGAGGTGCAAAGATGGAGAGAAGCTCTGACTCAAGTGGCCAATCTCTCTGGTTGGGATGTACGAGATAAGTAAGTAATCTTATCTGATATTATTGTTTTATGCCTGGGCAACAAATTGAATAAGCAAATTTAAGGTTTTCATGAAAGAGAATGTTGATGGATTTGGTGGTGGATTTCTGATATTATGGTGGATTTCACTTAATTTATGCCACTCTAATATTGATTGTTTCTTAATGATTTGGTGGTGTTGATGGATTTATTTCCCATTTTCGAACTAGAGTTGAGAGAGAATGTTGGGTCCAAATTTACATGATTTTTCAAAAAGTAAAAAAGAAAAAAAAAAAAAAAAAAAAAGTACTTTGTTATCTTGTCCTGCATGTGTACATTTTGTTTTGGTTTTCTTAGGTGTTGATATAGTGTTTTTAATTTATTTATTTTAACTTTTAGGCCACAAAATGCGGAGATTGAAAAAATTGCTAAAGAGGTAATAAACATATTGGATGAAAATATTTCAAGCCTTCCAAATGATCTAGTTGGAATAGAATCTGCTGCAGAGGAATTAGAAAAGCTTTTACACTTGAGCTCAGTTGATGATGTTGGGTTTGTAGGAATAACCGGTATGGGAGGAATAGGAAAAACAACTCTAGCCACTCTTTTATATGAAAGAATCTCTCGTCAATATGATACTTGTTGTTTTATTGATGATGTGAGCAAAGTTTGTAGAGATTACGGTCCAGTTGGTGTAGCAAAGCAACTTCTATGTCAAACATTAAATGAAGAAAACCTTCATGTATGCAATCTTTATGATGCTACTAATTTGATAAGGCAAAGGTTATGTCATGTAAGAGCCCTTATAGTTCTTGATAATGTTGATCAAGTAGAACAACTGGAGAAATTAGTTTTGAACCGGGAATGTTTAGGTGCAGGAAGTAGAATTATCATAATTTCTAGAGACAAGCATATATTAACAGTATATGGAGTGGATGATGTTTACAACGTTAGACTCCTATGTTGTGATAGTTCTCTTAAATTATTATGTAGAAAAGCTTTCAAATGTGACGATGTTAGAACAGAGTATGAAAATTTGGCATATGATGCACTGAGTTTTGCTAACGGCCTTCCACTAGCAATTAAAGTATTGGGTTCATTTTTGTTTGGACGAGATGTCTATGAATGGAGAAGTGCATTGTTCAGATTGAGAGAAAGTTCAAGCAAAGATGTTATGGATGTGCTGCGAATTAGTTATGATGAACTTGAGGAAATGCAAAAAGAAATATTTCTAGATATTGCTTGCTTCTTCAATAACAAATGGCTGAGCGAAGTTAAGAAAATTCTAGATTGCCGTGGATTTCATCCAGATATTGGAATAAGAGATTTAATTGATAAATCACTCCTAACCGTTTCACATGATGGCCTCATTATTAAAATGCATAGTTTGTTGGAAGAGCTGGGCAAACAAATTGTTCGAGAAAATTCACCCAGAGAGCCACGAAAATGGAGCAGGCTTTGGGAGGAGGAAGATTTCTACAAGTTTACGTCGGAAGATAATACTGTAAAGTAGTCCCTTGAAAATAAATAAAAAAACCTGTATATTTCTATTTTTTGTAAAAGCTACATATATTTAAAGTTATTTAAGTTTTCATTTTTCTTTGCAATCCTTTAGGAAAGCAAGGTTGAAGCCGTAGTTTTGAGGGATTCAGAAACGTTGATGGCCGAAGCAGTGTCAAAATTGAATCGCATTAGATTGCTTATAATAAGTGATCGGAAAATTTCAGGAAGTCTCTCTAGTCTTTCTAATGAATTACGATATGTTCTTTGGAGTGGATACCCTTTCATGCATTTGCCATCAAGTTTTCAGCCCACAAGGCTTGTACATTTGGATTTGCGTTCTAGCAGCATCAAACAATTATGGGAAGGCAAGAAGGTATATGAGATTTGATTTTCTCATGTTGTGATTCAACTAGTAATGGGCCCCACATTTATTAAAAAGAAAAAAAGAAAAGAAAAGTTTTACACGCAAATCGAAGGGTCACAACATGAGAATTGAATTCTCATGCAACATGAGAAAATGTTTTTCCTATATATATATATGAGGCAGGATCTTTTGACACCGGTGTCAAATTTGAAGTTTGACACCTCATCTGAGAGCCGTTAGATCAAAAAAGATCAATGGTGTCACATGTTTATAAATCAGATTCGTTGATCTTTTTTGATCTAACGGCTCTCAGATGAGGTGACAAACTTCAAATTTGACACCGGTGTCAAAAGATCCTGCCTCTATATATATATATATATAATTTCCTTTTCTGTTTTATTCTCTTAAGAGTAAAATTAAAAGCAAAAGGAAGTCATTCTTTTTATTCTTGTTGGTCTATACAGTATTTGCCCAGTTTGAAAACTTTGGATCTCAGCAACTCTCATAATCTTATCAAGATGCCAGATCTTGGAGGGGTCCCAAATCTTGAGTGGCTGAATCTTGAAGGATGTATAAGACTAGAGCAGATCGACCCATCCACTGGTCTTCTAAGAAAGCTTATTTTCTTGAATTTGAGTGGCTGCAAAAGTCTCCACGGCTGTTCAAAAGTGTCTAATAACCTGCTCATAGATAAACTTAGGCATGCGGAGAATTCGAAGGAGCTTGATATAAGTGAAACTACTATGCACTCCCAATCAACATCCTCCATGGTCAAAAGGCTTATGTTGTTGCCTTTACAATTCTTGAAATCTAGAAAACATAAGGATTCAGCTAGTTGTTCGTTGACTTGCTTGCCTAGCTTCTCTTGTTTGAGAGATCTTAATCTAAGTTTCTGCAATCTACAACAAATCCCTGATGTTCTTGGAAGTTTATATTGTTTAGAAAGGCTAAATTTAGAGGGAAACAATTTTCTTACACTTTGTAGCCTGAAGGAGCTTTCCAAACTTGTGAATTTAAACCTGTCACATTGCAAGCACTTGAAATCTTTGCCTGAGCTCCCTTCACGTACATATTTTCCATCAAGAAGAGATCCGGTGGTAGATCCAGAATTACGCATTTTCAACTGTCCAAATTTGGATGAGAGGGAACGCTGCAATAGCATGATTTTTTCATGGATGAAACAAGTCTTTCAGGTACTCTCTCTCTCTCTCTGTGTGTGTGTGTGTGTGTCAGTGTGTGTAGGAACTAGAAACTGAGATATATATAGCTTTGTTTGTGGTATCAGGCGTGCCAAGAATCCTCTGCCCCCTTTCATAGTATTGAAATAATAATTCCAGGAAGTGAAATACCAAGGTGGTTCAACAATCAGAGTGTGGGTAACTCAATAAGCATAGACTCATCTCCCATTATGCATCACAATAATTGGATTGGCGTAGCTTGCTGTGCAGTTTTTGTGGCACATCGTTTTTCAACAAAATGGACATGTAAGGATAATGGACCTTATTTGGACATTAGATTTAAACATAAATGGAGTTGGGCACATCTCTCCAGATTGATAGTTCCTGATGCAGATCTGGTTACGGTCAAATCAGATCATACGTGGCTCATCATCTATTTCCCTTGGGCAGAATCAATTCATCTTGAAGATATCGAGACCACATATTCGTCCTTCCCCCGACAAGGTTTGCTGTTTCAGATGAAGGATTTCAGGTATAATTGGGTATCTGAGAAGGATTTGGAACAATTTACAGAGATGCATAGCACTAATTCGGCAGCTCCAAATCGCAAGGTTTTGGCCATTGATGATAAGCCACAGCCATTATGAATTGAATGATTAACAAAAACAAGTAGCACCTGCATTTTGAAGGTGAGAAGAAAGGTTCATTTTTTTATTTATTTTTTATTTATTTATGAAACTCACTTCAAGTTGATCCTTGTGTTAAGTGTTTAACTCTCTTTCACCAAATTTAATTGTAACTGGAAGGTGGCACTCAACGTTCCTAATGACAAAAGGGCAAGGATAAAATGGTGAACGGATTCACTGAGAACTCCCCTAAATAATTAATTAAATAAGATTAACGATATCGGAACATGAATTTGATAAAGATTATGCATAATTATGATAAGATAATTATATAAAAAGTTGAATAATGCTTAAAGTCACTTTTCGGATGAAAAAATACAAATATCGGTTCTACTTCGCGGTGTAAATGCGTACTGGTGAAGTATCCCAAAAAATTATAATAAAAATGTAAATATTCCTAGAAAAATATCTAGGTCAAGGATATCAAGTTTGGAGTAAGAATGATGAGTGTTGATGTTAGAACTAATATCGGCTACGTATAAAATACGTACCGAAAAAGTGCTGCGAAAATTATAATAAAAATATGATAATTCTTAGAAAAATAGCTAGGTTTAGAATATGAAGTTTGAGATTAAAATAATTAGTGAAGCTATTAGAACTAATACTGAGAGATTGATTAAGGGCATTTATAAATAGAAAGTGTGCACAAAACCCTAGACTATTATTCAATTCCTACGTAGAGATTTTCTTGGCTGCCAACTACTCTCTCCACCTTGCCACCACCCTTCCTCTTCAAGAAAAGCCAAGTGATCACCTTTCTCCTTGCTTTTTTCATCAAAACACCATTGATGAATGTGAGCAAGCTTTGTGTGGGAGAAAAATCAGTTCTTAAGAGTGTGAGTTTCTGTTTGCTTTGAGTTAGTGGACTGTTCCTCTTGGTTGAGTGGTGTAGGGGCCATTTGCTTTGCATTTGAAGCTTCAAGAAGCCATTTTGTGAAGGAAAGGACCCGACTTGTGTAACTCCATTTCGTGGTCAGTACTGGGCAGAAGCTAAGTGTGAACTTGTGGCATCAAAGACCCTTCATTTTTTGCTTACAAGGCTTTAGGGTACATTCCTTACCTTTGTTCATGAGTTTCTATGTTAAAGATCAAGTCTTGGCATGTTAAATGAGGAGATTAATTAACCAACATGAACACTAGCTTAAAAAATGTGTCTAAAAATGCATGCTTGAACATATGGAAATGCAAAATGCAGAACTGCATTCTGTCGCGAAATATCCGGATATGATATCCGGATATGGATATCCGGATATTGGGTCTTAGATATCGAGATATGAATATCCGAATATTGACCCTGGGATATCCGAATATTGATATTCGGATATGCCACCGAGGAATATCCGAATATTCTAGGTAATTCGTAGGTTGAGCCATTCTGTTCAAACAGAAGCATGGTTTAGGTTTCTAGACCCTATATTGGCTAGTATGAAACTTGTAATAATGTACCTAAGTCAGAATCTATAATATTGAAGGCTTATGGCTTTGAGAGAAACTTACGGTCATTAAACGATAAAGGACACGTTGTCTAAATGCAATGAAATTCTAGATTATGAATATTGATGATGTGAATGTTATGAAAACAGATCCTTGACTTTGCTGGACCTTACCCTGTGAACACCGAGTTGTGAGGGAGGATTTAGCTTGACAGGTAAGTTTCTGGTCCTTGGATTGATCTGTTTCTTGTTCCACCAACCTCTTTCCATGGGAGGATGGTTTGTGTGTATGGTATGCTTTTATGAAAATGATATATACATTGTCATATGCCTGAGATATGTGGATATGTCTGTTGATGTAATGTATGGATGTGATGTTGGGTACTTACACGATCAGGTAGCGACCTTGGTGTGAAAGGCATGAGGCAGCAACCCTCATGTTTTGGTAGGTTGCAGACGTGCGTATGCCTATTCTGTTCTCTGTCTAGTTGAACCGTACTTGCATACATCATATGAGATATGAACCGTGGTACATGACTCGCTGAGTATTTGGATGCATTGTCATAATTATATTTCCCTAACATAAACATGCATTGTATTTAGAGTTTTGAACTTATTATATACTTGTAAGTAAGCTTGGAGCGGAAGAATCCTTGAGGACCCCTTGTCTTACTGAGATTTCTGTTAGAAATCTCACCTCGGGTGGGGCACATTTTCAGGTACAGGTGTTCCTGAGGCTGAGTCCTCTGGAGGCAGGAGGCCGAAGTTGAGCTGATATGTCATATGCTTTGATTATCATTTTTGGATATGATTATGCCTTGTTGTTATATGGCTATTGTACTTGAGACATGATCTTGTCATGTTGTTATTTGGTGAGCATGGGGCTGTCCATGTCACATTGGTATAAGTTATGTTTATTTCAGACTTGAGTTGTATTACCGTCTCAGGATATGATCTGGTCTACGTGTTGTAGTTCCATGACCTGATACGTATTTTATGCTATGAGGTTATTCAGTGTAGTCATTTATTGTAATTTACATATAAGCTATATTTAAAAAAAAAAAAAGTAAATCCACTTGGTTAATATGATAAGTTTCATAATTGAAAAAAGTTAGCTTCCGCATTTAATAAGCTGCGCTATTACCATTTATATGTTTAATACACCGAGTGCACGCGGGGTGTTACAATGCCAAACCTTATATGCAAGATTTTTGTTTGTGTTGTCATCTACTCAAGAGTCAGGACGTGGCAAAAAAAGAAAAAAGAAAAAAAAGAAGAAGCTTGTTAGCATGATATGCTTTTTCTGGTTGCTATAGGATGCTTTTGTCAGTTGGAGTAGGACCTTTTTCTTCAGTTGTAATGTTCACCGGAGGATGATACAATTTCTGGTATTTTTTTTTTAGAGACAATATTATGGCCTTTTTTTTAGTAAATATATTATGGTCTTTTGCGTTCTAGCTTGTTAGCGGAAAGTTGTACAATAACTACGGGTGAAAGTGGGCTGTGTTGGGCTGCGTCAAGCTTTGCTTCGAAAAGTCCAAGCCTATGTCAAAAAATTTCAATTTGGCTTGACCCAAGCCTAGTACGAGTCTAACTGTTAGCCTGGCTTGGCCCGTTTATAAAAAAACAAATGGCATGACCTAGACCGTTAGTCTGTTAATTTTTAACTTCCAAGCAGAACCATGAATCAACTTCACAAAATACTCAAATTATGTTGCTAAACCAAAAATCACAATCTCAACGTCCAAACAGAATCATGAATCACAACAAAACTTATCACAATCTGCATTTAAGTCACTTTCAAAAGCAAAATGTTCAAATTAAATAACATATATTTCATGGGATCCAACAAACAAATCCATACTATGTAAATTAAAATAACTACATGAATCCAACAAACACATCATGATGCTTGTAGTAAGTATAACATATCCTAAAAACCTTTTAATATATTCATATACACAATCTAACATGTTGAGATGTTGGTTCCTCCTACATAAGAAATAAAGTTAGATTTATATTAAAATATAATCGAATATAATTAAGTTATAAATAATTAAAATTGATTAAATTTATATCTTATTTTTTTTTCAAGCCACACTTATTCTATTTTATTTTATTTAAAATAAATAGTACAATATAGGCCGGCCTATAGGTTCATAAGCCATGTCTTGTGAAAGTGGGCCAACAGTCTATTTATTAAATAAGCTTTTCCAAGGCCAAAGCCCAACCTATTTTACAAAATATACTACGTCAGATCTGGCCTGATGTAGGCCGAGCCATAGGCGCCTATAGGCTGGCTCGGCCCAGTTTCACCCCTAACAATAACTAATACTATTAATGAGACAAGATAAACCAAACTTTTTGAAATAATCTAAATTAATCAAATTAAAAATAATTTAAACATAATTTGAATTCTATACAGTAGTTTGCTACATAAGAAAATTTGAGGCACATTAAAGTTCAAACTGTGAACATGAAACCTTGGACCATGAAACGTCTTAGCGGTTCTCTTTCATGGTTGTAGTAGAAAAACTGTAGTTTCAAAGAAGCTAAGGTATCAGTTTCCCAACATTGGTTATCTTGTTTTTACATAGAAAATATCTTACCCCCATGTATACCTTTCAACGTTAATTACTTGATCCCCGTTAACACGGCACGGAAAATTGAAAATTCGGAAAAGATCACAATGGATTTACCTCTGAAGATATTTTTGTATGTATTGAACCAATAAATTTTTATTTTTTTTAAAGAATAAAATAAATAGACCCAGGTGAACACAAATACAGCCAACACAAATACAGCCAGAAGATGCAAATAGAAATTAGTATTTTTCTGTCAAATAAAAAGTTGTTACTGTATCGGTCAAAATCACCACAAAGTAATCACTAATTCATTCAACGATAAAGTTTAGTGATAATCAATAGATGCTAACAAAATTAAAATTAAGCATAAAAAGTTCTTTTATTGGTCAAAAATTAATTCCACGAGAAGTATGAAGACTAATGTTAATAATTGATTTGTCAAATAGAGGAGCTAAAGAAACAACGCAAGAAAAATATGTTATGGCACACGTGAAAGGTCAAGAAAATCACCAGCAAGTAATACAATGGTTGTCTTTAAGTACAATTACTTGAAATGAAATTTTTTTACGTCGTTAAATACTGTTATGTACTCAACTTATAGGCCCATATCTTAATAGTCCACAACACCTAAAAGAGAAAATGAAACAATCTTATCGATAAGATATCAATCTTATTATATTATTAGTAGATTCAATATTAAGCCCCCAATATTATGAGGTAACCCAGAATTCTACTCCTATCAGATAATTCATCTATAAATAAATAAATAAAGGGTTAAATCAACTAAGTAAACACTCTGAACCCTTTTCTCTTTTATCTATTATTGTGCATGCACCACAAGCCTTCGACTATAAACCATTATTATTATTATGCATAGTGATTTGCTACTACCCCTTGTTGTGTCTATTTATAGACAACCGTGAAAGTACAATTCCTAGATACAATTACCGGCCACCAATTGGATATCCCAATCCTCTTTGATCAAATATTGGTGTCGTCCATTAGGAATCAATAAACTTTGATTTCCACCGTGAACGCACAGGGAAGCCCAAACCCACCAACCACCACCCATCACCGTGACAATAGTTATCTATCTAGTCAAATGCATCATGGTGAATTTGAAAAAATTTAATGTCGAAAAGCGATCAACACTGTTTTCTGGGGTCTTCAAAAGATTCAGTTGCACATGACGAGGAAGCACCGCAAGGGTCCTCAGAACTCAATGGCAATGGCGGTGAGCACAAGAAGACAATCCCATCAACTTCATAGCAATTGACGAACAACATTGCAAATCGATCAAACCATTTCAAAAGCCAAACGGCTTTTGGGAACAAAAAACGCATTTGTCTATATGCTTTATCTCAATGGCAGGTATAATTAGTGGAATGATGTCCACGCAAAGGACAAACTCTTCGGAAGCCAACCAACAATAGAAGTGGCGAATCTTTAGAATGGAGATGGCAAAACAGGCTCGGCCCGGCCCCGCCCTTCGGGGACTGCTCCGCCCTCCAAATGAGGCGGGCAGCTCGCTTTGCCACCTATACTTTAGAGGTGTCTCCACAAATCCATCATGTCACACCTCTCTCCTTCTTCCGTAAATCCCTAATCAAAACGGGCCTGATTGAAAATATGACGGCCATCAACTTTAAAGGGAAGAAGCATGAGGTGGTGGGCCTGACAGGCCATACATTCCTCAAGGACCTAATCAATACGGGCCTGATTGACCCAGACTCTACAGGATCTGTCCCATTGATCCCAACATCCCAAACTCCATCTCGGATTGTAGGGTCTAAAACAAGTCAATGGAGAGAGTCCAACCTCATTCATCGACATCTATATATTGAAGAACACCGAAGGTCTACTAACGAGAGAGCCCAACCCCATTGATCGACTTCTATATGCAAATCAGAGTTCGATCAGATATGCTGCTAGTGGGTGTCAATGTCTCAGCATATGACTCTATGGGCAACGATTATTCTTAAAGGTTAATTGCTTCCCAGCACCAAAACCCCATAAGGCAGCAGAGCATGAACTTGTAGTTTCAATCATTATGCTCTTTTCGAAGAAATTTGGAGCTAATCCAAATGACTCGCACTGCAAGGCTCAAGGCCACTCGGGACGAGAAGGAAAACTTCTACTCCGTATTATATCCAAGGTACTGGGTTAACCATGCACTCAACAGTAACACCATCGAGGGGAAGTAAAGGTGCAGTGGCGAGAGCCACGTTGGTGCCGGTAGGTGCTTTGGCACTAACTAATTTAGCCACGTTTATGTAGCTACGCTTGAAACGTAGCAAATCATGTTTCAAGTTTCTTGAAAATTAGCCACGTTTTGATCGTAGCTGTATAACCGTAACTATTTTGACACCAGTTGCGAATGCCTTGTTGGCTCTGCCATTATTAAGGTGGTTGATGAATAGTGGGACTCTTCCACTTAACTCTATCAAGATGTATAGAAAAAGAAGTTGTTGGGAAGGATAAATTATGGTTTTGAACCTGATACATGAGACAATTACATTTTCCAAGAATTTGCTTGCGTCCTGACTCAAACAAATCCTTGGGAGTTCAGTTGCTAGTTGAGCCACCCTTGGGGGTTTCTTTTCTTTTTTCTTAACCTGGTCATTCATAAGATTGTTTCTTTTTAAGTTAATATTTAAAAAAAAAATACTCTCATGAATTTAGTAGTGAATTTATCTCATCAATTCGAACTAATATGATAGAACCTTAGAAGTACAAAGTAGCCTATGTATACTAAAGAAGTCGACATGTTTTATTTTATTGCACATAATTGATAGATTATATATGTGAACAACTTTCCAAATCAATATCGGTTCCAAAAAAATAAAATAAAAGACCTTTCAATTCTTACAAGACTTTTTTTAAGTAATAACTTAAATTTTTAAGAGAGTTGAAATAAATCATATGACAAAGGAGGGATCATTAGAATTGAAATAATTCAAATTTGTTTTCATTGTCTAATAATAAATTAAGGGAATAGTCCGAGAGAGTACTCTAAATCAATTATTTAACTATCAAGACAATTTCCTCGAGGCTTAATCAGACATCAAATAAGTTTCTCGCAACTTCCTGAACTTTAATGCCATATGCTGGTATCCAACCCGAAAAAAGTTATAACCCCTTAAAAAATGAACGACTCGGCCAACACTTTAATATATACCTTGAATCTCGATAGTTGCACTACAGGAAATTATGGTTTTAGCGGTGGTTTAATTTGGGTTTAGCGGCGGTTCAAACCACCGCAAAAAAATTCCCTGGCATTTTTGAAACCGACATTGAATTTGGCGCCCCTAGATA